TGAGTGAGAGAAAGTCTGGGTGGGCATATAGTTTAAATCATCCAGCAGCATGAATCTGCACGAAATGGAAGGGCACTTCTCAGATTTTGCTCAAGAAATTTTCCCACTAATTTATTTGCAGCCTTATATAACAGCTGACTTCCCTGTGCTTGACGTTCTAAAGATTTAATTTTGCTGTGTGTTACAAGTGCAAACCCATGCTATATTTACCGAGATGAGACGAGCTGCCTGGGACCCACGTCAGCAAAATCGAAGAGGGTATAACAAATAGCTGCGCAAATTCAGCGAATTAAACATGCCCAGCCCTACTGAACTGAATTGTTGTGTTAAGATTAATTTTATTTTTACCGCCCTCCCCAACCTCCCTTTAGTAGGAGAAAGTAGAATGATAAATGAATAAAGGTGTACATGCTCATAATCAATGCATGGCCTATGTAATTATAATGAGTGGTCACCTTAACTTAATTCATGAGAATATCGGCTGGTTGTTCTGCGACCACCAATAATTGCAAAATGTTGTTTGAAACGGTGTTTAGTTCTGTGGACTGATATCCTTCCATTATAAAACCTTATAATTTTTGCCAGCAGAGATCAGTTTAGTGGTTATCTTTTATATCCCCCCCCCCCAACTTCGTTTCCGTCCTTTTGTTTGTCTTCGGACAGCTTCTGTTTATTCGGAGACCTGATGCATCATTAAAAATAATGTTTCAGTATCCACATTTAGAGCTCACAACCTCGTAACAGTTTGTCTCCAAAAATAACTCGGTCTGTTTTCGTTATCGCCGACAATTAAGCTGTTGAAATGTACTAAGCCGGGAAAAGCGTTTTATTCTCTTTTCCGGGAGAGAGAAAGAAGAATTCTTTTAACACGTGCACCTACACTGTGTACCTTTTCTTGCTCAAAAAGAAATAAAATACGAATTTCGACAAATGTTAATATTTCTCAGAAAAATGCAAGCCATTCTACAGATTGAGAAACTGCGATCAAAGTAAAATAAATTGGGTTTAGAACATCTGAACAGGTGACCGACCTTAATCTTTGTATGAAGTACCTAATTATTTCTTAATTCACGGCATGGCGGTCTCAACCGCTGAGCTTCAGAAAGATTCGCTCTGTGATGACCTTTGCTCATTTACTCCTCATTGATGCCTTACTGGGAACTCCGAGCAGCGAAAGGAAAACTGTCTGCTTACTGTAACAGTGAACACTGTTTTATTGGTTGGATTTTTTGTGAACAATGGTCAATGTATTTTACAAGTCATTGCATATTTAATAAAACGTGTAGATTCCAACTTAAAATATAGACTTCAACATAAGTTAAGAACAACTTGCAAACACTCTGAGTGGTCTTCTTGGGTCAACCTGCACATGGGCGTTCTTGGACTGATCCAGTGACTTGATGGGAATGCCTCAAGCAGACAATGACAGAGTGTGACACTACCAGCCTTTTGGAAACTTCTCGGGCTCCAACTCTATACTGTAGCCATGCCATAGCTCTGGCACGATCAAAGTCTCTCAGCTTTCGTCTCAATGGCACATTGGTGCGATACTGGATTTTGCGCAAACGGCGGCTTACTTTGCCACCCAAGCGAGAACAGTTCGAGTTCGTATGTCCGTTTATGACATGCACTAGAAATTTTAACTGAGGAATGTCCGTGGTGTTGCACACAAGTCGATAAAAACCAGCATATTAGGCAAAAATTTCCCGAGGATTTCCGTGCTGCACGTGGTGGTTTTGCCCCTTTAGGAACCTTTGCAGTACGCATCGGTAACCCATTAACATTTCCAGAGCAAAACAAATTTGAAACATTCCTTGCTGTCTTTTTTTTCTGAATTTTAACAAATCAGCGCTGTCTGTCTATGTGGTCCTTATCTTATCTTGAAGTCTGTAGTATTGATAGTGCTTATAGCGTGTTTGTTGCAACATGCAACTAAATGACGGTTACAAAGTTACAAGAATCTATAAACCTTGCTGAGGACCTCTTGTGGAGTAGGCATAATTTGTTTATGGAGTGCATAGTCACGATGACTGGGGGATTACATTTTCAAGGTTTTTTTGGGACGACACTGTATCTAGGAATTTAGACTGGTGAAACAAAACAAGATTATGACATTTTGT